CCTGCTGACTCATCGTTGTAGTTGTATAGGTCAAGGTAAAATCCAGTGCTGGTTTCACAATCTTTTACAAATGTCATGGATCAAAGCAATAAGGTGGTAATTAGATTTTTTTTTAACAAGACTAGCCATGATCTGCTCTGACCTATGCATCACCACATGCGGGGCTAGTTTCACAAAGGCAGACTTTGACCATGGCTTAGATAACTAATAATACCAGTAGTGAGACTTCATTCAAGTGTTGCACAAAATTATGTAGTTCTTGACTATCTTAAGTCAGACTATTTTGCTATGAGTTCTGGGTAAATTCAGGCTTTTTAGGCCTTCATGTCAGCAATAGCTGCCAGCAGCCAGAGGCATTATGTTTTCTGGTTGTCTGTCCATCTGTAGGTCCTGTCAGGAACACCTAGAGGGAATTTCTTCAAATTTGGCACAAATGGACTCAAGGGTGAACTGATTAGATTTTGGTGGCCAAAGGTCAAGGTCAGTGGCCTCACATCTGCCCCATAATCATGACTTTTACTGGTTGGCGGAGGCATATAGTCTAGTTTCATACTGTAAAAAAATGGCAGATCAAGCCACTTGCTCTGTTTACACCACCAGAAAATGATAGCCTTACAATAAAATTTTACTAGAAATTGTCAACAAAGAGTTTAACAGTTAGTTTTTTTTTTACTTCATTTACTACATAAAATCTCGGCAGAGTGCAGACCTGAAGGAGAGCTGAGGCGTAGGTCAGGTCCAGGATTGGGTTGCATCAGCTCTTCATCGCTACATTCGTTTAACTTACTAGATAGTTTGAAAGAAATTAGTTTCTAAATCATGTTTCATCATTAGAAAATAACAAATGTGTAAACCGAGTAGCTAAGAAACACCTGTAACACAAAAACAATCAACTACTGTATGTAACCAAGAAGTCGATGTAGATTCACAAGCTAGTATAACTTCCAAAAGTTACATTTGCAGAGGCTCAGATGATGCATCATTTGTAAATGTAGCTATTTGTTTTTATTTCTGTATGCATAGGAAAATACTTGATTTTACTTTACTTTTTTTTAGTTACGAGATGTACATTTATGTTAATTTAAACTCTTCAAGATTTACAATATATCAGTATTAAACCACATTTCTGAAGTTTCAGGTGATATATGTTGACTGCATTCCATATGACCCCTTTCAGACTTCACTGTAAATTAGTCATGTATTAGCAAGCTAACCTAAGCTTTGTCGGTCAGTTCAGTAAGCTACACAACAGTTAACACTACCAGGTGTAAATATTTAGTAACAGTTAGCTCACCTCTATGTAAGAACAAATTTATGACTTTTTTATTTAGTCATGTGCAAAACTGCACTTAGTAAACAGTTGTGTTATAGCTTGGCTGTCTGACTTTCATTGTTCTAATGTTAAGAGCAAAGTTAAGATGAACATATCTTTGTGAAACTGGCTCCAAAGTAGGCAGCAAAGGTGTTGACCAAACACACCAGTTAAGTGAACTTAAATCAGCAGAACAATCAACTCTCATTTATATAAAATAAAGTGAATATGTAAAGAGATTTAAACATACGCCACTTGTTACTTTAACCATTTGTAAATTATTGAAATAACATTATGTAGCTAAAAGATCTTACTGCAGGGTAAAGCTCAATCAGTCAACCAGTGCCATAGCACCAGCATTTTTCTACTGTTTCTACTGGTCAAACCTAGAAACCAAATGCTGTCAAATGCTCCCACAGTTCACTTCACTTTAACAGCGAACATTCCAGGGTTTTTATTTTAAACGTAATGTTTTCTCTGTCATTTTGTTTTCAGCATGTTGGATTCATTTTGTGAATGTTTCCAGCCCCTTCTGATGTTCAAATCGACATCTCTATGTGCATTCAGACCACCTCTCCTCCGCTTGTTTCTCCCTTCACTTTCTTTTGTAGGACACACATTTTCAGGTTGTTACACTTCTTGGAAGGTTGCCACACCTAACATCATGTTATTTGTTAAATCTCTAGGAGCAGACAGCTGTGTTTGAGTCTCACAAGGGGAACATACAGTATGTCTATGCTTTTGTTGCTTGTCTCCTGTTGTTCGTTAAAGGACAGTTTTAGTAATAAAAGTGTAAAAATAAACTATGAATGCTCTTGTTGCCACAGTTCTTGTTGCATGTTGTGTTCATGAAAGGGCTGTGTGTCTCTTTTCAGTCACAATGACAAGGAGTCAAGTTGTGTTTTAAAAAAGGGAGGACTCATCCAGAATCTCTGACAGGCTATAAATTTGTTCTTTACAGCGTGCATGTTGACCCATACACATTTCACAGTAAATCAGGAAGCATTCTCCACAATCAGCCAGGCACTTGTTTTTGCATGTGCTAGTTAGAAGCAGGGGGAGGAGGAAATATCTGGCTATATCTGTCCTGGGACACTCGCCAAGGTAAGTACTTGGGATCTCTGTGTGCGCACATGCTGGGGTTACAAATCAGACAGAGTAGCAGATAGGCATATTAATATCTTCAGTGATAAACAGGCAGGGTGTAGCTCTCACAAACATGGTGGTTCAAGGCGACGCAGGAAAAAGAAAACACTGAGTCCTTCGGCTGCAAACCTCTGCCGTGAGTACAGAAGGACTAAAACCACCCCAGAGCAGATTCGACCGAGCCTGAAACTTCTGGCACTGATCAGAACGGAACTCATACAAGCTCTGATCCTGATATACCACTCACACCACTTGTAAACAACTAAAGAAGGTGGTGAGGGAGTGAACCCTGGGTGTGAAGGACTGAGGATATCTGAAGTTAGACGAGACAAAGGAGAGCAGCCATGCCAGGCTCAGGAGGAGCAGAGTGAGTGAAATGATCTGTTCTTATTCATATTTAAATATGTTATATTTTAAAGGTATGGAGCAATGACATATCTTTATTTGTGAAATGGAGATGCTGCTACTGACAAGCTGTGTGTGTAATTATTATATGTTATTAAACAAAGATTTGAAACCTTTTTTTCAGAGAGTTCAAAACTTAGAGATATTTTCATAGCAGTTGCTCAGTTGCTACGTGCAGAGCCAGACAGAGTCTAAATACAGCTCAGTGTCACATGAAGAAATTACAGCTACAAGTGCAGAGCCTGCATGTGAGATTCATAATGTGTGTGTTGTTTGGAAGTCCAAAGGCACAGGATTTATCCACTGCTATCCTGAAGCAGAAACACAGGCCAAACAGGCTCATTGTGGATGAAGCTCTCAATGAAGACAGCAGCATTGTCAGCCTGTCACAGGTATGTGAGGGAGATGTTAATGTACACCATAGTCATGTGTGTAGAGTATTTGTTTTTAGACGTGTGTGTGTGTGTGTGTGTGTGTGGTTCTTATAGAATAAGACAGAGGAGCTGCAGCTCTTCCGGGGGGACACAGTGGTGCTGAAAGGGCGGAAGAGACGTCAAACTGTGTGCATCGTCCTGACCGATGACACCTGTGGAGATGAACGAATCCGGATTAATCGTGTGACACGCAACAACTTGCGTGTCCGGCTTGGTGACGTGGTCAGGTAGATCTCATACCTGAGGTTTTGTGGATGGTATGGAGTGTAGTGTTTGAGATCATTATGTGAAATGGCTCCTGTCGATGTGTGTGTTATTACAGTATCCATGCCTGCCCTGATATCAAGTATGGGAAGAAGATCCACATCCTCCCCATAAATGACACCATTGAGGGTCTAACAGGGAACCTCTTTGAGGTTTTCGTCAAACCGTACTTTCTGGAGGCTTACCGACCTGTACATATAGGTACAGCTGATCCCTGACCACTGTTCCTAACATCGTAACATGAGACTGAATCATAGCATCAGCACCCTGAGCACATTTAAATTAAATGTTCCTGTGTGCAGTTATGGAAAGTAACTAAGTACATTTACTCAACTACTGTACTTAAGTAAATATTGTGAGGTATCTATACTTTACTTGAGTATTTTCATTTTGTGCCACTTCATACTTTGACTTCACTACATTTTACAGGTAAATACTGTACTTTTTACTCTTCTACATTTAATTTATATCTTTAAATAGTAGTTACTATTCAGAAACAAATTAATTAAAAAATACAATCTAATCATAAGACTTTATTGCTCTATAGTGGAAAATTCCCTTGTTACCCAGCAAATTCTAAACATATAAGGTAGTAAAACCAATAACGGTTACTCCCCCTTTACCAGCTGCAACATTAAAGTAATGCACACAATAATGCATTAGTAATTATAACCCAAATATATTGATGTTAAATGTGCCATTCTTCATAATGAGTACTTTTACTTTTAGTACTTCAAGTATGTTTTGATGCTAATACTTTTGTACTTCTATTTAAATAACATTTTGAATGCAGGACTTTTACTTGTAACACTATTTCTACATTGTGGAATTGTTACTTTTACTTAAGTAAGGGACCTGAGTACTTCTTCCACCACTGCCTGTATGTTGCATCTTGCCATCTGCATTGTCAGGTGACATCTTCTTGGTCAGGGGGAGCATGCGGGCGGTGGAGTTCAAGGTGGTGGAGACGGACCCCAGCCCTCACTGCATCGTTGCCCCAGATACTGTCATCTACTGTGAGGGAGAGCCAATCAAAAGAGAGGTCTGTGAGAGATTCACGGGTGGCTGTTTTGTGTGATGTCAGTGTTTTCATTTGCAGCAGCTGCATTGTGGAAGGACCAAGAAGACCCTCCTTTAATCTCAAGATCGTCCTCTTTGAGGCAGCAATGCAAGAACTATCACCCACTTAACTTGTATGCATTCCAGTTCTAACTGTGGTACTTCAACTGAAAGTACAATATGTAATATGTAATTAAACTGTGTTCACAGTGCATAGTTTTAGCAGCTGTTGTGCCCAGCAGAGAATGAAGTAGCTAGATTGGATCTGGGAAACACTGCCATACATTGTAGACCAACTCTGTCCTTGAACATCACACTCAAAAATGTGATTTCAGTATGCATACATTTTAGAGTATATTTAATTTTACAATTTCCTAGTATGAAAGTTCTACACACTGAAAATTAAGCAACTGACACACATCCTATTATGGATGTGTGTGTATGCAGGCCAGTGGAATAAACACAACCCCGTCTCTTGTTCCTAAATCCTGACCTAAGACAATATTTAGCTCATGACGAAGCAGATGTTTCTCCTGGATGTTTCCATTTGACACAGTAGACCACATCTATGAAGAAAAGATTCTCCTGGTTAGCAATAGTTAGAAAGGTACACAAAACTGTTGAAATCAGGCAGAAACACACTGTGTACACACACCTTCAGCCTGTTCTGTTTAAACAAGGCAGAAGGGATTCTGACTGAAATGCCATCAAAGTTGGCGCAGTTTTTCTATGCCTCAGTAAAACTGTTCAGGTAACCTCATGAACACCTGCTACCATGAGGGGTCTCACCGCTGATTCATCAGTTCAACCTACAGTGCCAGTGATGGAGAACAAACTCAAACAACTGAGCATATACTGATCTGAACTTTGCATTCTGGCCTGTGACAGGATGAGGAGGAGAGTCTTAATGACATCGGCTATGACGACATCGGAGGTTGTCGGAAGCAGCTGGCCCAGATCAAGGAGATGGTGGAGCTTCCTCTCCGGCACCCGGGTCTTTTCAAGGCTATAGGAGTTAAGGTGTCATATATATTCATGCACAAACCCACCCATAAATCACCTTCTTTCCATTCTAACATTCATTTCTCTTCTCATGGCTCAGTGAGTTCTTCCTTCTTCTCTGTCAGCCCCCCAGAGGTATCCTGCTGTATGGTCCTGCAGGCACAGGGAAGACCCTAGTGGCCCGGGCTGTAGCCAATGAAACTGGTGCCTTCTTCTTCCTCATCAATGGTGAGACTTTCTTCACAGTGATGCAGTACAGAGGAAGAGAAGGAGAAATTAGCAGGTCCTAGTCTTGCAAAGTTACCTTTTTTTTGGTCAAGTATGTAGCTAGAGTCTGGCTGAGAATTCCAGTTTACTCACTGTGTTTCTAGTTTATGGCTTTGTGTAGGAAAGAATTGTTTTATATGCTGTCGTGTTTCTGTGGCAAGGTCCTGAGATCATGAGTAAACTCGCGGGAGAGTCAGAGAGCAACTTAAGGAAGGCGTTTGAAGAGGCAGAGAAAAACGCTCCAGCCATCATTTTTATTGATGAGCTGGATGCCATCGCTCCCAAGAGAGAGAAGGTAAACAACAGGGAATAAGTTCAAAATCCTACATAGTCTGTGCAAAAAGAGAAAGTCACATCTGTACATATAAGTGGAGCAGACAATATCTGTGTTACCTTGTGTGTGTGTGTAGACCCATGGTGAAGTGGAGAGGCGTATAGTTTCCCAGCTCCTGACCCTGATGGATGGCCTGAAGCAGAGAGTTCATGTGATTGTCATGGCAGCAACAAACCGACCTAACAGTGTGGACTCTGCTCTGAGACGCTTTGGTCAGGACAGACACAACTACACGCACACACACATACACACAAAGTTGTTTCCATCGCTTAAGGGGACTAGACATTAACATGCATTCATTTCCTGAACACCTACCTTAAACATAATCTAACCCTTACTTTAACCTTAAATCAAGTTGTAACTAAAAAATGCCATCTTTATGTTTTGGGAACTAGTTTTTTGTCCCAACAGTAGAGTGTGTATCGGGCCACATATCTTTGTCTGAACCAGTCCTGTGCCTGAGAGCGTGGCGTCCAAACCCAACCCGGACCTATCAAGCTTATATTATATAATGTCTGAACCCGACCCGAGCCTGACACAGCTGAGTTTGTACCGTGTTTTCCCCCTTATCATTAAACCAAACAGCCATTTGAGTGCTCCAGCCATCTAGCCTAAAGCTTGATCTATGTGTCCGCACACGACCCGGGCCAGAACATAATATCTCAATTTCTGTCCAAACATGGCATGGACCTTCGGGTACTGATGGGTCCCCTTGGGTTCGGTTTGGGTATCCACACTGTATTACAGTCTGAATATGTAAACAGATGTATGCCCCCACAACATGAGTAACACCAGCCCACACACACACTTACAAAGATACGATGGCTCTCTCCAGGCAGGTTCGACCGGGAGATTGACATTGGAATCCCAGATTCGACTGGCAGGCTGGAGATCCTGCAGATCCACACCAAGAACATGAAAATGACTGATGATGTCGACCTGGAGAGGGTGAGAAACTGCAGCAGCCGGAGGAAAATGAAAATAAAAGCATAGCTGTTAAAAATTAAAGCTCAAATATATTACAGATTGCCACAGAGACCCATGGCCACGTGGGTGCCGACCTGGCTGCTCTGTGCTCAGAAGCTGCTCTGCAGGCCATCCGCAAGAAGATGATCCTCATAGACCTGGAGGATGAATCCATTGATGCTGACCTGCTCAACTCACTGGCTGTTACCATGGATGACTTCCAAGTACAAACACACACATGCACATGTACTGTAGCTCTTCCAGTTCCTGTGTGTACAGAAATTCACTATAACAACAAATGCACAGCTAATTTGTGAACACATGATGAATATTTCTTTGTCAATGAATAAATGAAGAGAGATGCAGCTCCTTTCCCTAACACTGTCATGCCCCTCCTCAGTGGGCACTGGGTCAGAGCAACCCATCAGCTCTGAGAGAGACTATTGCAGAGGTGCCTCAGGTCAGCTGGGAGGACATCGGAGGACTGGATGAGGTCAAGAGAGAACTGCAAGAGCTTGTTCAGGTGACCTAATACCACAAAACTCTGCAAGTATCTACAAACACAAGTTCAATCAATAATCCCTCAATCTTCATCTTGTTCTCCCCAGTACCCTGTTGAGTATCCGGACAAGTTCCTGAAGTTTGGGATGACTCCATCTCGTGGAGTGTTGTTCTATGGCCCTCCAGGCTGTGGAAAAACCCTTCTGGCAAAGGCCATTGCCAACGAGTGCCAGGCAAACTTTGTCTCCATTAAAGGGCCTGAGATGCTCACCATGTGGTTTGGAGAATCAGAGGCTAATGTCAGAGACATGTTTGATAAGGTGAGAGCATGGGAAGGAAAAAAGCAATAATAATAGAAGGAAAGAAAGAATGGGGAAAGGGAAGAAGGGATTTTTAGTCTAAGTGCTATACAGACCCATGTACTTGGTGAAATCTGAATCCTGTGTTCCACACTGCAACCTTTCTGACCTCCTGACTTCCTCTCCACCTACAGGCCAGGCAGGCAGCCCCCTGCATCTTATTTTTTGACGAGTTAGACTCTATTGCTAAATCCAGAGGAGGCGGGGCTGGGGATGCAGGTGGTGCAGCCGACAGAGTCATCAACCAGATACTCACAGAGATGGACGGCATGTCCGACAAAAAGAATGTTTTCATCATTGGTGCCACAAACAGGTGAACATACGGGAATGTTTTGTTGCATGTCTGCACTTTTGCCAATTTACTTATTTCTTATTTTCTCCACTTCTCTCACTTCTCTTCTCACACCAGACCAGACATAATAGATCCAGCCATCCTGAGGCCAGGCCGTTTAGACCAGCTCATCTACATCCCACTCCCAGATAAACCATCTCGCACTGCCATCCTAAATGCCAACCTACGCAAATCTCCTGTTGCAAAAGTTAGTCATACAGACACACACACACACACACACACACACACACACACACACATTCATTTCTCTCTTCCTCATGTTCACAAAATAAAAAGTAGATCTGTCCCTTTATAGGTTACACGACTAACTTGTATGTAAGTATCATTGAGCAATGTTTCTATTTGAAATTGTTCTCATACTATACTTGATCGGACTACTACACATACTATTGGATAATTTCTCTGACAGTATGTCTTATATTTAAATAGTAAGCACATTCAGCAGGTAAATGTAGTGAAGTAAGCATGAAATTGTACTTAAAAGTAATACTCAAGTAAAGTGTTTTCCATTTAAAACTGTAAAATGTTTGGTTATTAAGGTAATCATGGTTCTCAGGGAATGATATTTTACTGTATTTGACTTTAGGCTCACAATTTTTTATGTTTGTCTTAAAATAACGGTCAGGAAAAAGGTTTTGTTGCTGTAATTATTCCTCCCATTCATACCAGCCATTAAATGATCTTGTTCTATAGCTCTTCCAAAATGGGGCACCATTTTGCAGATTTGTTCATTCTTCATACCACTGGTACCTCTCATGTTTTGAAGTGGGGAACACACACATACACAAAGAACATCATCAAACAATATAAATGCAAAGATGAACTATTTTCACAATTCTTAAGTTTCCACCTTTCTATCACCCTGCAGGACGTGGATCTGGAGTACCTGTCGAGCATAACAGATGGTTTCTCCGGAGCTGACCTGACAGAGATCTGCCAGAGGGCTTGTAAGCTGGCCATCCGTGAGGCAATTGAGGCTGAGATCAAGGCTGAGCGTCAGAGGCAGAAAAGGCCAGGCATCCCCATGGTCAGACTATCAGGCTGTTACTGCTGCTGCACTGCATCCTTGATCACTGATAATATTCTATACTGTATTAATCAAGAGAATGCTGATTGGGTCTTTCTGCTATTAATACACACACACACACACATATGGTCCAATCCCCAAAGCAGTACGAGGCTGCCTGTACTCGGTACAGGAGGAGAATGTGAAGGAGAGAAAAGTTCCCTAGAGGGTGGCTGCATGTTTTGTAACTTTCAGCCTTTGGACTGGGAACACACACACAACTACACACACAGTGTACTCTTTACACATGAAGCCCTCATAATGTTTTTTCTCTGTGTGAAGGATGAGGACTACGATCCAGTCCCAGAGATCAGGAAGGACCACTTTGAAGAGGCAATGCACTTTGCTCGTCGTTCTGTCAGTGATAATGACATCCGCAAATATGAAATGTTTGCTCAAACTTTGCAGCAGAGTCGAGGATTTGGAAACTTCAGGTACACACATACACACACATATAAAAGCAAAGAATATGCATTTGTTACTACAGAGAATGTAGGACACCTTGACCTGCTTTTAGTTGTACTCCAGCACATTCGAATTTTTCCTCAACCTACAGCTTTCCTTCTGCTTCTGGTACCCGGTCTGGAGGTGAGGGGTCGGACTCTGGCTCAGGAAGGCCAAATCTGTACAGAGAAGAAGGTGATGATGATCTCTACCAGTGACAAAACTCCACACACAATGGAACAGCTGCACAGTCTTTCCTCTGAAAAGAGGAAACTACACATCAAAACAGGAACAGAGTACAGTAGGAGTAATTATAAGGAAAAATAGGATAATAATATGAATCAAACAAGAAATCGGCTCAAATGTTTCTGGCTATAAATGATGTTATAATTTTCATTTTAAAAGGCAATACACTAGTAAGACTTTTGCACTATGAAAATTATGTGTGAGTTTGAAATGTGATAAATAAATTTATTTGTATACCTTTATGATCACTCTTATGAAGGATACATGGATTATATGCATTGTTTTTGTTTAATCAAATCATTTAAGAGGACAGTTTAGACTACTCTTGAATGATACTGAAGGGGCATGTAATGGTTTCCATTTAGATGCTTCAGTTTCAGTGTCTTGTTGTGCATGTTGCTTCACTGCCATGGCTTGGGACACTTGAATAGAATACAGCCATTGTTAGTGATAAATGTTAAACATATGATTTTCCTATTATGAAAAGTGATCATGTCTGCTGTGAAAAACACTTATTTGGAAATATACACCATGTATGCACAACAAATAACAAGAATAAAAATAAAAATTAAGGTGTTAAAAATAATTTTGACACACGGCTCTTCTACAGAACAGATCCTCAAAACATGCAAGGGTCATTTAAAAAAAATTTAATTTTCCCACCCATTCCTTGTGATACCTAGTAAAACAACAGTCTCTGTTTATTTGCCAAAAGTTTGAGGTATCAATACACCTGCTTAGAATGCATGTAAATGGAACTTTCAGGGTCAGATTATATTTGAGAAATTGAAACACAGTGCATCTTTTTGGACATATATGGGGTTTATCTGTATCTAATTGAGGACAATTTCCTTTGGCTTATATATTTCCACAAACCAAGTGACACGCTGAATTTGAGGCTGTTGTGGTTTCCTAGGAATATGGGGGCCCTGGTGCAGGTGCTTTCAGCCTTTCTAAAAAAATTTAGACTTGGTAGAAAAAATATTTATACAGATCATAAAATACTAAAGAATGTTTGTATGGTTTAAGCACAGTTAAGTGATACTATATATTTTTTATTCGTTATTATGGCAATTTTTGTTTTTGCCAACATTTTAAACACTCGCAACCTGCCACCGGAACCTTTGTTATTTGCATAGGGGGAGGTGTTTCTCTTACGTACCTCTCGGCTGTTTTTTTTCCGGTTAGAGGCGGAAGTGAAGGCAGTGAGTTTGTGGAGGTGACCGAATAGTATATCAAGAATTATTTTGGAAATTTTAGATTATCACGGAGCAGACGCAATTTAGGACATTTATTGAGACCGAGATTGTATAAAGTTCCTCGGTGCCATGGGAGCTCACTTGGCCAGACGGTATATCACTGAGCGGGACACCGAGCCCGACCCTGCGAAGAAATTTGAATTCGACCCCCATTATGGTTTTGCAGAGAGGAAAGAGAGAGGTTTGGCGGCATTTACTAACTTTGAGACTTATATCAGCATCCCAAGACGTGTTCCTTGTCATCTGGTTTGAAACTGGTTTTCTAATTAGCCATGCTAAGTCGTTAAATGTTAGCCAATCTATCTTTGCGCTAATGGCTGTGGTTAGCTTCACTGCTAATTGTTGCTTGAGAAGTGTAGTGCCAATTGTCAAGACTGTGTCCAGCCTAAGAAATGTATTTACTGTTATTTCTTTATTTGCATCGCTGGCATCAAATTATTCCCTTATATGCAAAATATTAATAAAGTAACATCTACGTCGGTTAACTGGCTATTACAGCGGTCTCCCGAGAAAGTTTCCCTATAACAAGATATTTTTCCCGCACCGTAAACTAATATTTTAAAACGGAAACGTCTTTTGGATTATATTTTCAATTACTTAGGGTGCAATCTATTTGAGTAATCCAACCAGTAGTGATTATCTAGGCCCAGTCTTTCCCCAGAAAATTATATAGCGCAGTTTTCACACAAAAATCCCGTAATGTACCTAAAAAAAAATCCATGTATAACGGATACATTTACAGCACCCATGATGATTTTATTGGGATTAGCGCATGTTCGGAAAGCCACTCTAAATGGCACTGTACTAATTAGCCATACTGTTGTCTAATATTTGTATAGCATTAAAACATCCAGCAGTCTAATTCTTAGATTAGTGCCTTACGAGTCAAACGTTTGAACACACTCATTCAGTGTTCCTTATTTATTTTATTCTGTGCATTTTAGGCAAACGTGGAAGACATAGAAACTATCAAATAGCACATATAGATTTATGCAATAAGCAACTAAATGTTAAAAGGACAACATCAAAATATGTTTTCTACTTTAGATTTCTCAGAGTAGCCACCGTTTGCCTTGATGACAGCGTTGCACACTATTGCCAATGTCTTTATCAGCTTCGTGAGGTTGCTCACCTGGAGCGTTTTCAAGGTGTGCATTGTGAGAAGTAAATCCATTACATTTCATGCCTAATTTCTTGTTAGTTTGTTTGAGATTATCATTTGTGTTGGAATAAAGAAACCAGCCTGATTTCAACATTGAAGTAATCCTTACAACCAACAGTTTGTCATTACTTTAACACACAAAGGTCAGTCTGTCCAGAACTTTTTAAGAACTTATGAGGTTTCTTCCAATGCAGTTGAAAAGCCATGAAACACTATGAGAAAACAATGCTGTCAGGAGCATTGCCCCAGGAAAAGACCAGGAGTTACCTCTGTTGAACAGGATGAATTAGTTAGTTACCAGCCTCAGATCAGAACCCACATCCGTGCTTCCCAGAGCTCAAGTGGCACATCTCAACATCTACGGTTAGGAGGAGACTGCGTGAATCAGGCCTTCGTGGTTGAACTGCTGCACTGAGGTAGACCAAGAAGAAGCAGAGAGCTGCTTGGGCCACAAAACACAAGTAATGACCATCAGACCAATGGGAACTGTACTCTGGTCTGATGAGCCCAAATCTGACATTGTGTCAAAGAGCTGCACCTTTTATGAAATGTAGAGAGGGTGAACAGATGGTATCTGTGCGTGTGGTTCCCATAGTGAAGAATGGAGAAGTGATGTGGGGTTGCTTGTGGGAAAATCATTCCAGGTGACTAACTTGTGAAGCTGGTTCAGAGACAATATATAAAACTTTTATTAAAGCAAAAGGTTGCTACTTTGAAGAATCTAAAATTTAACAAATGTTTTGCTTTTACACTTTATTACTTACTACACAATTCCATATGTTTCATAATTTTAATGTGTTTCAATAATCTTCAATGTAGGAATTAATAGAACCAACATTCACTGAAAAGGTGTGTCCAGACATTTCTTTGGTACTGTACAGTACCTGTTATGAAGAATATACATAACTTTTAACCTGGTCAGGGTTTAAATAAGACAGTGTGTTCAGCCACTTCTTAAGGCTCTGTACATTGTAAGAGTACTTAAAATGTTTATCCCTTTGCCAGAGATGGTCGCGACCCAGCAGCAGATGAACTTGGCCCAGCTGACTTTGGAGCAGAGGGATTATTGTGCCCATTACCTCCTGAAACTGATGAAGTGCAAGAGAGACAACTGGCCCAACATCTTGGCCTGCAAGCACGAGAGACACGACTGGGACTACTGCGAACATCAGGAGTAAGTGTTTCCAGTAGAGCTGAGACATTTCTAGGGCAGGTTTTATCAGATTGACTCTTAGATAGTGGTACTTTCAACAGACCAGCTTAATAGGTTTAACTATATGAAAGGTCATTTATGTTATAGAGATAATTGAGGTCTAAGCTTCCCACAGTCGGCAGTAAAGCCACTGATACTGGGAAAAACATCGTATAATGAGGTAACTGTCAAACCTGACCTCACATGATTGTTGTTCAAAGTATCTCATTCAGGACTCCTCAGTGTAATTAGTATATAAGGTTAGTATGCATCTTCAAGATTGACAAAAGGCTCTCGGTCTTCCTCAGTAGATGGTGGTCCAGCTGTAGAACTGTAATTAACATAATTTCCGGACTATAAGCCGCTACTTTTTTCACATGCTTTGAACCCTGTGGCTTAAACGATGATGCAGCTAATTTATAGATTTTTACGGGCTAACGAGCTTCATGCCGCCAATACATTTAGCCTCGTCACATCAGACCAATGAAATTACCGAACAGGTCACAGTGGACCAATGAAACTGTTTGAATTAAATCAAATGCACTCACACTAAATTCTTCAGATTAGTCATTTTGCGCTTCATGCACACACCCTCATCATGGAAAACACACGAAGAAATGCATATGATGCAGCTTTCAAGTTAAAGGAGATCGATCTGGCTGTCAAAGAAGGAAATAGAGCTGCTGCACGTAAGCTTGGCATCAATGAATCAACTTTAGTGTGCAGGAGGAAGATGAAGATAGTGATCAATGACTTTTCTAGTAGGCTACTGTATTCTTTATTTTTTTTTACCCAGCTGTGTTACAGGCACTGTTTGGAAAAAGCATTTATTTAATTAAAAGTTTTTAAAAATCTTTCTATGTACACCTGTGGCTTATAATTTTTCATGGATTTCTGGTGAATGTTGGCTTATAGGTCAGTAATTTTCTGCATTAATAGTATTTTCAAGTGGCATAGACTAAATTGAACAGTGGATTGCCTGCCTCCAACCTGGATCAGCTTGTCATATTCCTCTGTTGTTCAAAAACATGAGGAAAATGCATCACTGCACCGGGTGACACGCTTCATCATTACAAAACACAAGACATGCAAAAAGTAAACGACCATAACTTTGTGTCTCAGAAGTAGCAAAAGTCAACTCTGCATGCACAAGATCTCCAGGCAAGCTCTCTTCGTTTTATAGTGCACCGGCTCCTGTTGCTTTTACAGAGTTCTTAAACATGCATGGTCTAGTCCTGCTACTTCAGGTGCTGTAAAAAGTTATGGTCATTTGGAGCTTTTTGCAGGTCTTCTGCTACATAATGAAGAAACGTAACCAGTGCCGCAGTGTATTTTTAGTCATTTTTGAACAACAGTGGGGTCTGTGGCACAACCGACTACGCTGATCCAGGTTGGAGACTGACAGATACTGTAGTTCAATGTTGGTTTAGGTCTCTATATGGGGAGTGCTAAAATACTATTTATATAGAAAACAACTGGCCTTATCATTTAACACGTCACCTGGATCACAGTCAGCTAAGTAACTGATGTTCCTTTATGAAAATTAGGACTCAATTTTCTTTGGCATGATCCAAGATTTCAAAAACATTACAAGACAGTTATTTCAGCAATAACTTGTAATGGCGCTTAAACAATAAATATGTTGGACTGTAATAATATACATCAGGCATTATGACCACCTGTACATCTGTATACACTTCAGTGCAACACTTCTGCCTTAACATGTGTTTATGAAGCTTAAACTGTTTCACATTCTGGTGAGATAAATGTATAAACTCAATTATATGTTCATTATTGAGGTCATAGTTAAAGGCGGTGTTGTACTGGACCACATTATATTCAGAGGTGTTCCTAATATTCTGACCCTCTCGTGTATGTCAATGGGCAGGAAAAAAAAAAAAAGACGCCTCTGAATATAACGGTGACCTCAGTAATGAACATATAATTAAGTTTATACATTTGACAGTCTCACCAAAAACAAACATTTTGGGCTTCATAAACATAAATGTTAAGGCAGAAGTGTTGCCCTGAACTGCATACAGATGTACAGGTTGTCATAATGTTATGCCTGATCAGTATATACCCACCTAGCCATGAACCATGTACTCCGTTTTTTGTTTTTTTTTTTCTTCACCTCCAGCTATGTCATGCGTATGAAGGAGTACGAGAGGGAGAGGAGGCTCCAACTGAGGAAGAAGAGAATTGAGGCTCAGGCACAAGGTGCATAATCAGGACAGCCTGTAGTAGCTCTCTGTATATATATATATGTGCTGCTGTTCACAATAAATGTTTAATCATTACAGTCCTGGTTTTATTACCATCAAACCATTCAGTAATCCTTTGCATGACCTCACCTAATTGTTCACTTTATACACTTAAAATCTTTACATGAGCAGTTTGTCTTATCGATCACCCACAGATCAGAGAAACTATTCATAAAACTGAGCAAAGAAACATTTTGATTTCCTTTTTTAATAAATTAGTCCTGATGTCAAGTGTTATGGTTTCAAATTTAGAATTATAGATATCCTAACTCAACAGTTTAAGACTTGCTAAATATCAGATGCAAATTCAGTGCCAAAAACATTAGATAACATATCACAGTATACACTGTAGTTGGCAGGTGAGGATGGCTCCAGGAGCTGAAATGCAGGCAAGTCAGTTAACCAAGCACAATGAGTTTGTGGTCAATAAAACAACAACAAAAAGAATTCAAGCAAGCACAGTGTTTTACATTTTTCACTCATACAGGAATTTAGGATGAGACAGGAAAAGAGAAAATTTGTGGGTTTGTCAGTCTAATAAGTTCCAGTGTAGATTAAAGGAAGCGCACCCTCTCAGTTAGGGGTAGGGTGTAGGCGCTCGACTCCCACAGAGACCATGAAGGAGGGGTTAAGTAATCCTCTACAGGATGAAGGGCAGTATGGGTGATCGGAGAGGAGGGTAGTCACGGAACTCCTTCAGGTAGCTGCGGTGCTTCCCCTTAGCCCACACGGTCATCTGGATGAAACCCACCAAGGTGAAGAAAGCCACCGGCAGGCACTGGGTCATCAGTGTGAAGCCAACCCAAGAGCCCAGCTACAGGAGAGAAGAAGGTAGAACACAACATTTCTCTAAATCACTCGTCAGACTCAAAATGGCGGAGAGTAAACACAGTGGCTGAAAAACCAGTTTTCAGCAAACGACCAACAAACGACCAACAAACTCCTCTGTTAACACAGCCTGCCCCTACCTGTCAGTAGATAACCAGATTTCTGACAGGTAGGAAGCAGCATGTGAGTGGGGAAAATCACTTACAGCACCCAGTCATTCAGTACAGGCACCCCTTCAGGGATGTGTGCTCCCCCTGCTACAGTTTCCCCTCCACACAAATGCCTGCACCTCAGAGGACCCCTCTGTTAAATTCCTGAAATTTGCAGATGACACAATGGTCATCGGTCTCATCTTAGACGGTGACAAGTCCGTGTACAGACAGGATTTTGAACAGTTGGTCATGTGGTGTTGCAACAACCTGGAGTTGAACATGCTCAAAACAGTGGACTTTAGGAAGAATTCCTCCCCTCTGGACGGCGCTACAGGTTACTATACGCCCAAAAAAAAAAAAAAAAAAAAAGGCAAGGAAAGTTTCTTCCCCCAGTCCAACACTGATGATCACATGACTGTATAACAATGCACATTCTGTTCTTGTTTACACATTCTTTTTTTCAAGGTTCAAGGATTTTGTCAATTCACCATATGTGCAGGACATACAGAAAATCGAAATACTGTTTCTCACCTAGTATTGGGTGCCATAACATTTAGGAACTAAAATAGAATAGAATAAGAACTGGATTAACGTAATTAGGATAAATCTAAACTGTACAGCCAATAGGCTGTGACTCAAAACCGTGTACAGTCAGTGACAGTAGTGCAAACAATAATAGGAGATTGTCAGAATAGCATATGAGGTATACATGGACAGTACTGCAAGTGACCAACAGCAGCAGATATCCCCGGCCAAAAAAAAAAAACTGTCAGCGGCAGACTTACATATAATATAACAAAAGGGGGAATGTACCGAGTTAGTGCAAACAGCAGGGGTAGTCTTTTTATATCTTTTTATGCCCAACACACCTCGCCAGTAAAGCTGATTCTAACAGTTAAAAGGGATTAATTTGTGGCATAGATACATACTAATGCCACTAGAGGGCAGCAGCTGCCAACTACAAAACATTTGTGTGGTTTTTAACCATTGGTAGGGAAATAATACAATTTAGGCAGGATACTGCAGTCAGCTGTACCCACTTAAGAGTCACTCATTAAAATATAGTTAAAGCTAAATTTGACAGTTCTTTCCAGCAAGCAATGTCCCACTCATGTGGAGAAAACTATTATCAGCTACCATAGTGGAAAAAGAGTTACCTCATAGGTGTAGTTGGGGCAAGAGACCAGCAGGAAGATCCAGGTGAAAGGGTTCTTGGTTGGGTAGGGAATCTTCCTGGTCTTAGAGCCTGGATGAAGAAAGAATAAGAAAGGGAACGTCCGATCTTTTATTTTAATCCATCTACTCACTGTTCACATTTTAGTCTAATATAAAAATAAAAAAAACATACTGACCAGTGACAGTATTCTATCTTGACCTTAATTTGAACAATACTTAATGTTATGGAGAATACCTATATTGTGAAATGTTTTCAGAGGTCACTACTTTGGAAATGTTTTTAAAACATAAGAACTACATTAGCAAATATTTTATGTTTTAATTACTGTTTGTCTGAAAAACAACATCAAAAATCATTAGGACCTTTTGGGAGGGAAAGAAAGCATGCTTGAAAACGGGCATGTACGTACCTGGTGGACGTAGGTTCCGAAGAGCAATGTGGATGGAAAAGTTTCCAATCTGACAGAACTAAGAAAAGAAAAAAAACATTGAAAAGGTCACATAAGTGATTTCATACTGTGTGTGCACAGAGAAAACTGATTGTCCACTGACTAGGGATAGGTATCTTTAAGATTTTATCAATACTGATATTACTTCTTGTCAGTACTCTTATTGCCACTAGTCCCCATAATTTGATGCAAAAAATAAAAGATGATATAAAAGGATTCAACATTTTAAATCATGACAGTTTGAATTTATGAATGCACCAACCACTGGCAAATGATGACTTTTAATCAATAATCCATGTTCATATACTTTAGTCAACCCCATGTGCGTGCTGCAGGCTACTAGCGTCCATAACGTACGGTACCAGGACTGTGAGCTAGGCAGACGAAAACTGCGCGTTTCTCTGCCTTATGTGATGGACTGTGTCTGGACGTTTCCACAGACTGCTCGTGTTTCCGCCCTGACTTTCAAAAGACTTGTTGCGACAAGCAAGCAACTTTGAACAGGCACAATAAGCAGAGTTGGTGGGATGAAACGTGCAAGGTATCCTTTATGTAGTGATGATAAATAGGACATCTGCCTTCTTAACTTCTCCAATACCTATAGCAGAACCAATAACGTTGGGGCTTATTGATGCTGGTATTTAATCATTTAGCACCGGGTTTCAGTACCCATCCCTACCACTGACGCAGATGTCAACAACATAGAAATGGATAAAAATACTGTGCAAATGATGTTTATCACTCCAATCAAATGATTCATGATCAATTACAGATTCTTACCAAGAATACAATGAGGGCTAGTCTGATCTGTTGCTCCCCGTAGACTGCAACAAGACACAATTAACATAAGCAGTGATGAAACGGAGGTAACAATGAGACTGATGTACGAGTGTCTGAGCATGCATACTCACTGGGTGGTGTATACAGCGGGTGGTTGATGTAATAGGCCATCCATGCTGCGAAGCCCCAGTAGTAGGTACAGTTCTGAAATGTGACAGGAACATTGGATCACATTCACAAACTGTTCTTGAATTTATTCATAAAACCCACTTACAACGTTTTCATGAAGGCTCTGGCGTTCGATCTTGGGTAAGAACAAAATCTACGCACACTCAGGCACATTTGAGCACTGAATGTATGTGTGAAATAACTGGATATTTAGTTTTCTTCAGTTCTACAAGATTTAAGTTACAATAACAGTTTTGTCATTTTAGTATTTAATATTTTTTCTCATTATTTTACAAAGTTTTATGTAAAATGAACACTACACAAAACAAATTACAGTATGCAACTGTTTTTAAGGTTTTAAAATGAACTTTTACAGTGTGAATACTTGTAGCTTAGAATTAGGAAAACTGATTCTTTAAAAATCAAACACATTTAAGTGCATATTTTTATTTCTAATTTCTTTAAGTGTCTCTCGGATATTTTGGCCAGTGTTCAGGCCATCTGTGTAAGTACTGTGTAAGTTGATTAACATTTTACTCCATACATCTTTGCACATCTTGTGTGAGCAGGAGAATACATCTCACCTTAAAGATGTTGCGTAATGGCATTGTTCCATGAGAGAAGCGATGGACAAACAGTGTCTCCATT